AACCTCCCCAAAACCCTAGAGGATAAATAGGAAAATTTCCACCTGGACACAGAACAGAGAGAAAAGGCAGATTACCCGGAAAAAAATGAGTTTTAGATCAAGAGTCAACCCTTTGAAAACAGCAATGCAAGGCAGAAGAGGAAATACTATCTTCAGTGCACTAACTTATCTAAAAGCCCTCCATTTCATGCCTTAGGAAAAGCATCCTTCAAAAGTAAAGGCAAATTAAGTCACTTTCTGACAAATTAAAGAGTTTTACCATTAAAAGACTTTGGCCAAGGGAGCCTAATAATATACTTGAAGCAAGAGTCAAACCATCGGAGACAAATGTGTAATACCCAAAAAGGAATGACTAAATGAATGTGCAAACATATATACATATACACATATCTGTAGTTTGACTCAATAGTAATAGCTAATTTGTGACATTAAAAAGAAAAAAAAATACAATTAATCTATCACACAACACTAGCATACAAATTAACAGAAGGTGATTGGTGTTCAAGTATTTTTAGGTCTATGTTCTTAGGTTCAAAATACAGGATATTCTTATTTTTGTCCCTTTTAGGCACATGAATATTAAATTTCCTTTTTGAGTGTGTACATGCTAACTTTCTTTTCTAAGATCAGAAAGGGAAAATGTGTTCCAAATTAGTAAGTAAGGAAAAAAGTGAAATGAGAAATTAAAAATCTACCCAAAAGAATTTAAGGAAGAAGAGGAAGAAGGAGAGGAATAATACAGAAAAGGAACAAAGAGCAGAAGGGTGAGTGTATAAAGGAAGATGAACACAGTGCAAGCAGCATAAACTACTTGAAAATTCAAAATGAAATGTCAGGTACAGATTTCAATATGTTTTTACAGTGGCGATGGAAACATAAAACTACCAGAAAATGACAAAGACTATCAGATTTGTTCAAAAGAGCATTTGTATACTATTTGTAATAGATCTTCCTAAAACTTAAGAAAAAATAAAAGTATGGGAAAGTATGGATTGTGATGGTGTGTGCGTAGTTGCACACATCAACGTACTTAAGTCTATCAAATACAATAGAGAGGGAAAGTCTCAGAAGAATGCACGGAAGATTATGCTGTTTACAGGAAGTGACAAAGATAAAACCAAATAATACACAAATTAAGAAGACAAATATGGTGAAACTATAATGAAAAGAAAAAACAAAGATAACCCCTAAATTCAAAACAGCACTAATCACAGTATAGCGGGAGAACAGGGCATAGAATTAAGCAGGGATGCATGGAAGCTTCCAAGTTACAACCTTATTTCTATCTTAGCTTCACAGGTAGGCAAGTGGGTGCTTGTTTTTCTCTTATCACAATGTCTTTACTACATGTTTAACGTTTTACGAAAATATAATTTTAGGGGCGCCTGGGTGGCTCAGTTGGTTAAGCATCCGACTTTGGCTCAGGTCATGATTTCACAGTTTGTGGGTTTGAGCCTCACGTTGGGCTCTGTGCTGACAGCTCGGGACCTGAAACCTGCTTCAGGTTCTGTGTCTCCCTCTCTCTACCTCTCTCCAGCTCTCTCTCTCACTCTCAAAAATAAACATTAACAAAAATTTTTAAGAGATAAATAAAAATACATAAAAATTTAAATAACTATTAGCAACTTCAAAATTATTGGTCTTGACTTTTTTCTCCAGATCATGTTAGTATCAGTGAGTATGCTGATCTCATTGCTTGCCACAAACTTCTTTGTCTCTCACACAAGTGGTATAAGGCACAAAATATGTGTCAGTTCTAAAACGAAGCCCTTCTATCAACTTTGTGTTTAAGCGCAGAAAAACTAGATTCTAAACATGGCACTGATCAAATGGAATAAAGATCCACAAAGGCTGCTCAGTTGCTTTACGGTAAACATTTTACTGCACGTTTTTCTTAAAGTGATTTTTTGGAAGTTACAGTTATTATCTTAATCAAACCTAGTTCCAAAACCCCTTAGAAATTTAATGAAAAGATAATGTTAGCAAAAAAAAAAAAAAAAAAAAATTTTGTAAACTTCAAAATGCACATGTTAACTATGAGTAAAGGAAAATAATACCTAAGATTAACACGAGACCTGATAGATTGGATTTTCTGAGCCAGAAATCGTGCCCTTGACAGCTACATCAAATTGAGAAAATGAAGATACATTCTGTAATTCATTTGCTATCTGCATAGATGAGTATGGACGAAAATGCTTGTTATCAATCATAATAATGTTAGTGTCTACTTTTTTATGTTTCCACCTCAACGTGTTCAATAGCTGAAACATAATTGTTGCCTATGTCAAGATCCACTAAAAGTTATAATTGACAATTTGAAGAAGCTGGTCTTTTCCTAGTGTTTCAAAACTAAAGCACTGTGTCTTTTAGCTTAAAACTGTCACCGAGAATATTGAATAATCAATAAAACTTCAAAACAGAAGAACTTTGTGGTCTTCAAATCAACTCTTCATAAAAGGTGGCAAATAACATGATATTTAATGCACTGGTTTTCACATAATTCACTGTCTGGAGGGTAGAAGGTTGATATGGCTCATAACTGGTAGGTAGCGTTTCAGAAGCAGATAAATGATTCTGCAAGTATTGCATATCTAGATGGGGGTGGGGTGGAGGGAAGGGAGGTTTTCTTCTTGATCCTTGACTTTTTATTTAAATAAATAAAAATCAGTTCCCATGTTTCTTTTTTCAAATTTATTCAAAGACATTGAAGAATTTTAACTCTGATTTACTCAATAATACTACAGGGCTAACAATGATCTCAAAAGATTCTTACAAGAATTTTAATTATTTTTCTCTTGAAATTGAGTCACACACTATACATCAAAAAATATGAAAAACACACTTTACCAGCAGACACAAAACTAATAGAAAAGTCCAAAGATTTGAACATAGGCATAAATTCAACTTTTACACATCCAAAGAAGCCATTCCACTAATTGGAGCACTGCACACAGAAATAATCTTGAGTATCTTCTCAATTTTCTCTCTACATCAAGTGCCACAATTTCAGAAAAACTTCTCCAATGGTAAGATTTCTATCATTTATAGGGAAACATCGATAGCTTGTGGATTCCTGGTAATATAGCAGGTAATATAGCAGTTTAAGGCGAAATCACATATAAATGTATCTGCTGTAATATACATGAATTCATACATAAAAGTTTTCCTTTTGCTATCATAGTCACCTAATCAAATTATGAAGATAGCAGGAAGGGTCTGCTTCTAATCAAACTGAAAAACCACGGAAACAACCATTGCTCAGTGGTTGCCAGATAAACTAAGACATGGAGTGCATCTCTTCAGTCAACCCCAAAATATCCTTTTGCTACATTTAAACTCCCTAAGTACAGGACCTGGATCTGCTTTGCTATTTACCCAAGCCCCATAAGACAGGGCTTTGTAAGTATTAGGTGCTCAGTAATTATTTTTTTAAATGAATATATTAAATAGGTACAGATTCAACTGGAAAGCAGAGTTCTTCATGTATGATTATACCTGCCAAATAAATTCTCAATTCAACTCTGTCTAACAATAGCCAAGGTAAAACTGAAGGAAGCTCAAACTTCATTGTTTCAATCGACAAGTCTTCACTGAGTACTTTTTATGTACTGTGTGCTATGAGTGGTAAAGAGAAGTAAGTAAGACATAGCAAGTCCTGGTCTCCTTCCCCTCATTAAGCTTACAGCCTAGAAAACAGGCTGGATGTGGGGAAATACGGAAAAACAAAGATAAAGTTGAAATATACTTTGTTTCCTCTTCATACTCCTCAGTTAAACCTCACTCACTTCATGTCTCAACAGGTAAGGTCTTTTCGTTTTAAATAGGTGTACTGTGAAGGATTTTTTCATACTGTAGCCAAACTTCAGAAATGTCCAAAAAAGTAGTTAACAGAGCAGACATCAAATATTACATATTATTAACCTCTGTAGTCATTCTAGCCCTGACAATTATTTATACACACACACACACACACACACACACTTTTCAAAAAATTTTTTAATGTTTATTTATTTTTGAGAGAGAGAGAGAGACAGACTGTGCAGGCGAAGAGAGAGAGGGAGACACAGAATCTGAAGCAGGCTCCAGACTCCGAGCCGTCAGCACACAGCCTGACGTGGGGCTCGAACTCACGAAGCATGAGATCATGGCCTGGGCCAAGGTCAGACACACAACTGACTGAGCCGCCCAGGTGCCCCTCAAACACACATATTTTACACACATCTAATACACAGTATTTTCTTATGCAAAAACAAGCATTCATTTATTATACAAAAGAAGCCAAAACTGATCTACCTCAGACCCTTACAGCTCTGAAATTTTATGACTACTCAGACATTTCATAACAACTTCTGCTTGAACTTTTTCAAGAATATTCTGAGCCTAAAAGTCTAAAACTTGATTTATAGAGACATCTCTATTAGAGTTGCTGGATCCAGGACACCTAGTTAAATTTGGATTCCAGATAAACAAAATCTCACAGTGTCCGTATATCTGAAATTCAGATTTCACTCGGCATCTTGTATTTTGACTCACTACATCTGGCAATACTAACCTATGTGCTCCTATAAAGACATAATTTCCAATAAAGGATGAGTTAAATAATAGTATTTCTTTGTGTGTCAAACAAAAATCAGCCACTATATATACAATACCAAAATTCACATGTAACTCAGCCATGGTACATTGATAGTTTTTGATCATGATGATTTTCTTTTAAAAAACACCATTTCTTCACATTTTTAAGGAAAAAAAGAGTAAATTTGTTCTTGTTTTTAAGTCCCCACGCTATGTATCACTTGGTAATAAACACAAAAGTACTGATGACATTATATTACATTATGCATACAAACATTAGATACTCAGTTTTTACCTTGAGACACCATTGAGGTATACCACCCAGGAACAGACACTATAAAGAAAGTGTTAAATGAAAATAACAGATTAAAGACATCTGTTTAATTTACTAACATGCCCTGATGATGTTCAGATAGATGAATTACCTGACAGGATTACTAGTCAAAGATACGCGGAGGGACTCCAGGCATGTGACAATGTCATCTGCAGACCCCATTTTCAGTTCATGGATGAATTCCTGAGGTGAGATCTGTCGCCTACTCTTAAGACTTCCCTGTAATTTAAAGGAAAAAAAATTTATCTTCATTAAAGCACTATCAATTACATTAATCCTATCTTTCATATAGCAGCTGCATGCAACTACTCCAAGCAGTCTTACTTTGCAGGAATGATTCCTCTGCTCACAAATATAAATTATAATCTACGATATTCACCAAAGATGAAACACCAAAAGGTTTGCAAATTAAAAGGACTTTCTCAGGGTGCCTGGGTGGCTCAGTTGGTTAAGTATCTGACTTCGGCTCAGGTCATGATCTCACAGTTGTGAGTTTGAGCCCCGCGTCGGGCTCTGTGCTGACAGTTTGGAGCCTGGAGCCTGCTTCAGATTCTGTCTCCCTCTCTCTCTGCCCCCTCCCCGGCTTGCATTCTGTCTTGCTCTCAAAAATAAATAACCCCGGCTTGCATTCTGTCTTGCTCTCAAAAATAAATAAACACTAAAAAATGTATTTTAAAAGTAAAAGGACTTTCTCAAATGCAAAATATCATGGAAAACAATGAAGTGTGGAGACATACATATCATAGGAAATATCTGAAAATAGAGTAATCTATTTTAGGCACTTGCAACATAAAAATCAAAACTCAATACAAGAAAAGCCCTGTTAAAACTAATCTTCTAAGCACCACAAAAAAGCCTTGAAGCTACTGACTCAACTACCATTAAGTGCCTAGTTCTAAGCACAATATACAAAGAGATGATCAAAACCTAAGTCTGGAAGGAGAAATGCAAACACAGTAGTAATACTTTCTGGTGAATCTAATTCCTGTAATACAGTACCTACCTAAGGACCCAGAGGAGGAATCCCTAACTTGGTGAGCAGATGAGGGAAGCCCGAGTAAAAGCGCGAAGGCAAGTCAGTTAAGGGGACTGAGAATTAGGAACTTCTTCCAGACTGAAATAGGGCACATGTGTACAACCACAAAGAAAGCCAGAAGCACTTATAGCCAAAGATATCAGCCAGATCAGGGAGGGACAGAGCACCGCTAATCAATCAGATTTTCCAAGGCAGTTTTGGAAGGATCACTCTGGAAGCAGTATAAAATGCAGATTAGAAGAGCTGGAGTTCATTCATTATTCAACATTTCGTGCCTACTAAGTGTCAGACACTGAAGTGCTATACAGAGAACAGTCAATAAGAGACAAACATCCCTAGGTACATGGAGCTTTCTTCTCCATGGAGAAGAATAAAGCCAGGCAGTCAATAAATGAACTAAGCAGTTAAAGTAGTTGCTTTGTAGCTATGGAAAAGTGCTACAGAGAAACATAAAAGCAGAGAAGTAGAATAAGGAGCACAGGAGGTGGTTTGCAATTTCAAACAGTGTGGTCACAGAAAGACTCGCAGAAGAATCCGAAGGCCTCAAACTTGAGTATTAGAATAAAGGTGTGAAGGACAGAGAAGTAACCATACCTGTAACTGAAAAGTTGTAATGGAAGGGACTGTACCCTCAGAGGCCACCCAAAGAACTCTGATTTTACTTTCAGATGAGAAGCAACAGAAGCAGCAAGACCAGTTAGAAAGGCACAAACATAGTCCAGATGGAAAAAATGAAGCAGCATGAACAAAGTCCAGAACTGAATCTACTTAAATTACGGATTACACATCCAAGGGGAAGGAATTATACATGTTCAAGAGCAGATTAGTTGGGGTGTCAGGAAATCAGATCCACTTTTTTTTAATTTTTTATTATTAATTTGCCATAATATTGTCCAAGAAAACACTTCCAATAACATAAAACAAATTAGCACAGGAAAGACAGAGGATTTTCATCAATAGCAGAGTGGTTATTTACCTAAAAGAAAAAAAAAATTGAGCAAAATCTACAAAAATAAATTTGAAAGGAGAAATGAAATGATTTAGTGAAAATAAACACTTTTGAAATCAGTGACTGTTACGTATCATTAAAAAGAATACATTCAACTTGTACTGACAGCCATTTTCAGTATCCTTTTCTGCTTTAAATTACTTAAGTATTGCCTGTTCAACACAGAAAATTTGGAAATCAGAAAAGCACTAGGAAAAAAAAAAGTGCCTCAAAATGACTCTTAATTTGATATTTCTCTTTTAAGTGTTTTTTCTCATTCAGAATATGTAATATTCCCTATACATTCATAAACACATGTACTTTACTTTCAAAAATATTATGTCATACATATTGTTCAGTAGGCTACTTTTATCTTTAGTAATATTTCATGAATATATCCCACATCTTAAATGAAAACTTTTTTCCTGGCTACAGACTGTTAACATACCATTACTTACATAATTTAGACCCATATTACTGGGCACGTAGGTTGCCCAATATACTTTAGTGGTATCTTAATTTGTCAAGTTTCCTGTGCATACTGTCAATATTTTTTTAATGCTTACTTACTTCTTTTGAAAGAGAAAGTAAGTGAGCACACGCATGCAAGCAGGGAGAGAGAGAGAGAGAGAGAATCCCAAGCAGGCTCCTCACTCTCAGCACAGAGGCCCATGCAGGGCTTGATCTCATGAACTGTGAGATCATGATTTGAGCCAAAATCAAGTCAGATGCTTAACCAATAGAGCCACCCAGGTGACCCATCAGGTCATTATTTTTATCAAAATATGTATCAACAGAAGTTAAACTAGATCTTTTTGTAGTACTTCCTGAATTTATCACTGAAATAATTATGATATGGAGGGATCAAAATACACCAAAGCTGAGATCAACTGGTTCCTTTCAACAAAAAATGGGTAAACACATATAGTCAATACTTTTAAAATGTAAGAATAAAAAGCAATAAATGCATTTGAATAAAAATAAAAGTGATTTAGGGGCCCCTGGGTGGCTCAGTCGGTTAAGCAGCCAACTTCGGCCCAGGTCATGATCTTGCAGTTTGTGAGTTCGAGCCCCGCGTCAGGCTCTGTGCTGACAGCTTGGAGCCTGGAGCCTGCTTCGGATTCTGTGTTTCCCTCTCTCTCTCTCTGCACCTCCCCAGCTCATGCTTGCACTCTGTCTCTGTCAAAAATAAATAAATTTTTAAAAAATAAGTAAATAAAAAATAAAAGTGATTTAAAAAAAAAAAAAAGTAATCACTTGCCCCACCACTTAACCCTATCTTTCAGAGGCCATCCCTTTTAATTCCCTTAACTGTTTCTTCTGATGGTTACTTAATATGTCCAAATAACATGTTTACTCCGATTTTCTTAAACTTCTAAGTTTTCAATATTACCTTTGACTTCCATTATGAAAGATAAGGAGCTAGTTATATTAAAACAATGGAATTTGTATTCTTCCATCTTCTGACTATAATTATAACTAAACTCAGTTGAACCAGAAGATGCCAAGTCCATGACATGGAAGCTGACTGAATCAAGGCTCTATGAGATCCAGAGAGATTTTTGGATCACTGAACTTAGTAATTCTTTAGTTTGTTTCATGACACAAAATAGGACATCATATGCCCCCATTCATAAAGTCTTCCAGCTACTATAATTCCCATGTTGGTCAAACCAACTCATTGGTGCCCCCACAACAGTGGAGATGCGAGAAGCATGTTGGATCTTCCCATTCCTATTCAGTATTTTACTGGAGGTACAAACTAGTATGGCAAGGCAATAATGACAGCAACAATAGAGATTAGAATAGAAGAAGAGGATAGTCTCTACTTGCAGATGAAATTATCTACATGAATTCATCAAGATCACAGAATAAAAGCTCAACCTTTAAAAAATATTTTTATGTCTAAATATTACTAGTAAGTGAGAAATGAAATTTTACAATTTAACACTTGAAATAGCATCAAAAAAAGCCCTCACAAAATAATGAGGAAAATTTTTAACAAAAGAAGATAAATACGTATATGGAGAACTACAAATATTGTGAAGAGGTATTAAAGAGGACCTAAATCAATGATCTTATGCCAAGTTCATGGGTCAGAAGGCTCGGTATTATTAAGACATTGTTAAGAAATACATTTTCTGAAAATGAAATATGGCCTTTTGTAGCAACGTGGATGGAACTGGAGAGTGTGATGCTAAGTGAAATAAGCCATACAGAGAAAGACAGATACTATATGGTTTCACTCTTATGTGGATCCTGAGAAACTTCACAGGAACCCATGGGGGAGGGGAAGGGAAAAAAAAAAAAAAAAAGAGGTTAGAGTGGGAGAGAGCCAAAGCATAAGAGACTGTTGAGAACTGAGAACAAACTAAGGGTTGATGGGGGGTGGGAGGGAGGAGAGGGTGGGTGATGGGTATTGAGGAGGGCACCTTTTGGGAGGAGCACTGGGTGTTGTATGGAAACCAATTTGACAATAAATTTCATATATAAATAAAAAAAAAAAAAGAAATACATTTTCTGAAGGACAATGTATATATTCAATATATTCACCATCAGAATCCCAGCAAGGTTTTCAGAAATTGAGAAGCAGCTTCTAAAATTTATATGGAAAAAAAAAATTTTATATGGAAATGCAGGAAACCTAAAGTAGAGCAATTTAAAAGAATAAAGTTGGGAGGATTTTTCCAATTTCACGATTTACTATAAAGCTACTAAAATCAAGTTAGAATAGAAGCATCAATAGAAAAGAATCCAGAAATACACTTGCACCTATGTAGTCAATGATTTTCAACCAAGGTGTTAATGTAATTTGATGGGGTAAGAAGAATCTCTTCAACAAATAGTGCTGGAACAATAGGACATCCAAATGAGAAAAAGTGAACCTAGACCTTAGACCTAAATGTGCAAGCTAAAACTTAATGTCTATAAGAAAACATAGATGAAAAGCTTCACTACCTACGGGAAGGCAAAGATTTCTTAGGACAAGAGGCACTAACTAGAAAATTATTCATAAATTAGACTTCATCAAAATTTAAACCTTCAATTTTTCAAACAACTCTTAAGATAGTTTTATTGGGACAATGAAAAGGAAGCCACAGGCTAGGGGAAAATATCCATAATACAAGTCAAGAAGTGTGCAGTCCGAGTCTACATAACGTAACAAGCTAAATGAGCCTGTTACTGGTTCCTGAA